GGATTTCATTGCTCAACTTTCAACTCTGTTTCTGACCCTTTTAAGGAATGGTATAGAGCAAATTTTGGAGTAAGTGGAGAAAGGCAAGGAAACAAGTGAGAGATTTAAGGAGGAAGATGGAACTAGATCAGCAGAGGGCCTTAAGGCTGATTTAAGGAACTTCTTCAGTGTAATATACAAACCGTTGAAGAGTTTTAAGCAGAGTATTAATCTGTTTGGAAATCAGTTGGGAGGCTATTTGCAATAGTCTAAGTAAGAGATGATCCAAGTTTAGCTTGGATTTGAATGCTTGCAATAATAATGGTGAGAAGTCAACTATTACCAAAGCTATTTAAGAGGAAAAGTTGTCAGGACTTCGTGACTGCATGGTACGATGAGAGAGAAATATCAAAGATGACTCCTAGGTTTCTATGTTGTGAAACCCATGGCTGGTGGTATTTTTCACTGAGGTAGAAAACCTTGGAACAGCACCAAATCTGGGACAATTGGGAGTAGAGGAGATTGTTTGCTCAGTTTTGGGATGTTGAGTTTCAAAATATACAAGTGATGAAATCAAGTTGTATATTTGAGTCTCAGAGAAGTTGTCTGCAATAGAGATATAAATTTAGGAGTCATAGGCATATAGATAGTAACGGAAGCCATGTATTTGCCTGACATTGCCTAGAACTGGACTTTAAGTACATCAAAGATTTAAGGTTGAGTGAAGACGAAGGCTCTGGAATAGGAGAAGGAGCAGCCAGAAGATAGGAGGAAAGTCAGGATATGATAGAAGAGAAAGAAGAAAAATTTCAAGATTGAGAGACAGTCAACGGAGTCAAATTATGATGAGAGGTCAAGAATATGTAAGGAATGAAAATTTTCCATTGCACCATCAAATATTTTAAATACATATACCAAAAAGAAGCAATAAACAAGAATACACGCTGTATGATTCCATTTACATAAAGTTCAAAACCAGGCAAAACTAATCTAGAGCCTTAGAAGTCAGGAAATAGTTACCCTTCAGAAGTATAGTAACTAGAAGAGAGCATGAAAGTAGCTTCTGGTTTCTGGTAATATGCTGATTCTTGGCGTGGTTGGGCTATAGAGGTGTTCTCACTTTGTGAAAGCTCATCAAGCTATACAATTATGATTTATTCACTTTTCTGTATGTATGTTACACTACAATATGAAATACTCATTAACAGAAAACAAGCCTGGAATCTGGGGGGAAAAATGGCATACTCCTTTGACCCAACAGTTTCACTTTTTAAAATTTATCCTACTGATATAATAGCAAGTATGCAAAGATTTATATAAAAGAATGTTCATTACAGAATTGTTTGTAAAGATAAAAAATATACTAAGTATTTTAAGTAACTCACTGATTAAGTATAGCAGAACCATTCAATGGAACTCTTACAGAACACTAGAAGATTATGACTGCTGACATGGAAGGGATGTACATGATAATACTAAATGCAAAGCAGTGCAAAGCAATTATAGAAAAGTATGTATCATCTATTTAAAATTCAACTGTAAGGAAGCAGATAGATAGATAGTTTGGAGAGCTGCCTAATGGCTTTTACTGGGAAGGGAGAAGACTTTGGCAAGTGGTAGCAAGTATTTCATGGTGTGGCCATGGCTGGATATGATGATGAGAGGAGCCAGTGCGGGTAAGATGGTCAGCTCTCCTGAGGTGTGTACTTGTCTTGTTTGCTCTGGGTGGATGTTGACTAGGTTTTGCAAGTGTCTGTGTTATTTGCAAGAATGAATATTCATTCTGCCTCAGGCCCACAAAGGGGAAAGATAGAGGAAAACCGAGAATTCAGTCTGCTTGAACTTTGGGAACAGGATAAGGCAGTGCAATTTTGGGGGACATTTGAACATCCTCTAGAACAGAATCTCATCTAATAATACAAGTTTAATCCTATTCATTTTGCATGTTTAATCACTAAGTTTTTTTTGGTGATTTGGATTTTGGGAAAGAACATGAAATAACTATGAATTAAATTTCTTTAAGTTGCCCATGATAACACCTACAGTTTTGTATTCACTATCTCTAAGCTCAGTAAACACTAGGGGCAGGGCAAAAATAAAACCTGCAAGTAAAACACAGCAGGTGGAATAGCAGAGTGCCAAGTACAAAGATGATTTCTTCCTTCTAGCCTGGGATGTTTGCATTAATGTTACCAAACCAGGCTTGTTTTGCCTGTCGCAGGGCATGCCAATCATCAAGACAATGAGTTCACAGCAGAGAAAGGGTATATTCACAAGGCAGCCAAGCAAGGAAACAGGAGAACAAGTCTCAAATCTGCCTCCCTGAAAATGGGGATTAGAGATATTCATGGGATAAAGGGGCACGGTGGTCTGAAGGGTGGGGAGAGATGATTGGAGGTAAGGATAATTGGGGTATTCGATGATCTGTGCAAGTGCAGTCCAGTTTCCTGGCTCTTCATAGGACACGTTCACAAAATAGTGGTGTTAGCAAGCCCTGAGGGTGGAGTTCTCAGGCCCCTGACGTCAAAGGGTCACCTGTTGGGCATTTCATGAAGGCCCAGTTGATGAGTTGGTGGTCTTAACCAGCCTGCACTGGACCAGGAGTGGACTCTTGGTCCCTGAAAAACTGCTTAAGCACTCATTACCATGGTGTGCTGGGAGCCCTGGCTACATCATTTGATCGGCTGTTTGACAGGGTCCAGCCGATTAACGCTGAGGGGTGCAGGGTCGCCCCTTGGTGAAGAATAACCGGCCAGCCCCTCACATAGTTCTGAAACCTGTGCTGCTTTTAACTGCCCTTCATTCCTTTTCCTTTCTTAACCTCCAGTTTTCACTCCTTTGGGTGGCTGCTTGGGAGGCACTACCTCCCGGGAAAATTAGATACAGTAAGAGAATGTGACCACCTGCAGGTAACTTTCAAGATATTTTTCAGTTAATTAATGGAGGAGCACACAGTCCCATGTGAGACAATCAGAAAGGAATCCTGCCCAGATAAGATGTCGAATTAGGTTTATGGCCTCCATCTGGTTAATGTTTCCTTCTCCCTCCAGTTCTTTGTCTAAATATACATATGCATCGTCCTTCTAAGTTTGCTGGTTAATTGGATGATCAAGAAGTATCTATATATTATTCTTGACCTTCTGCTTTCTGTTAAAATGTTATAGAGGTTTTCTCCTAAAAGCAATAAATAATAAATAATTGGTGAGTAGAAGGGCCGAGGGGTGCAAGAATGCCCCTCGGTGAAGAATGGCCGGCCAACACCCCCGATATTTTCTGAATTATATGCATGCTTTCTATCAAGGTTATGTGTATACTTATTTCTCTTTTTTATTCTTGAAGATTTATAGTTTAGCTTAGCTTTTCAGCCCTTTACTTTACTAACAATATGATACTTTCTCCGGCAGTGTACTTAAGGGACCGTTAGCTCTACAATCTAAAAGACAAAGGATGCTTCCACCCCCTAAAGGGCGCGAAAAAGTAAAGATGTTTAACTGCCCGCTGAGAATGCAGATAGCCCTGGGGATAAGACACCCTGGAGTCACCTTTTGTTCCCATTAACCATCTACACTAATGGCGTAAATGATTGAGGGAGGCAGGGATGGCTCCACCCAGGGATGTAAACCAGACGGGCTGCTGGTCCTGTCCGGAGCCTGGACCTTCT